TTATTTTTAGGTGAAAGAAGAAGTGGTATTTTGAAACCTCAATCCTCTAGTAATTCAGATATAAAACCAGTCTTGCGTAATATTGACTTTGATTCAATGTTAAAAAAAAATCAAGATACTGAAGCCAAACAAGTAAATATCTTACTGCATAGTATAAGGAAATATATATTTTAGATTATAAATAATTGTTTTGTCAATTAAATAATGTGTAGGTAAAATTTCGATCTCCATCTCCAAGTTCATCATCTAGCAGTGAAGCTAAATGGTCATTGGAAGATCTTGATCAGACTTCTTCGGAATTCGAAAAAGATCAAAATGCCGCAAAACCAACTCCTATTGGGTATCAATTGCCACATCCTTTCAACAACTTGAACTCATCTCAGCCTAATATTAATCCAATTATGAATACATTTGGTCAACTGCATATGAGTGGTTTTCCATCATCTTCTGAAAGYCAATTCAGGTTTGGTCAACCATTACCAAACTTCTCCACTTGGCCACAACCACCAGCTAATTGGATTGATAGCATTAAACAACCTCAAAAGTAAGAACTCATTGTTAAGAAAACTAATTTTCCTAAATACATTAATTTTATTTGTAGAATATTGATTGAATACTTTTCTCAAACTTTTTAATTAATAATTAATATAGTACTCATACAACTAATAGTTTTATTCAACTATCATTTTTTAGCAATCAACAGAATCATCCAATGTTTCCATTTATGCGCAACCAAGCTCCAAATAGCACTTGGTCAAATGTTAATGCTCCTCAAGTAGCTCATAATTCACCATTGCCAAGTAATTTAAATGTAAGTATTAAGATTTAAAGTAAATAAATAATATTAATTACCTGTATGTTTCTATGATTTTAAGCATTTTAATGTAAGAGATGATCAACAACGTAATTATTACAATGGTGTTAACAACAGTCCATATTACTCACTATTTAATCAACCTAATGTTATGATACCTCGTACWATGGATACAAGTCAAGAGCCCAATAACAGATCATTTGCTACTTTCCATCAGCAGGTATTATTAGTTAAAAATGTATTAAAATTATTATACTTCTTTATATGTTATTTTTTTTTTTTACAGTCATTATGGTCAGGTCCAGGACCATCACCACTTGAACGTTTATTAGAACAACAGCGTGGTCGTGATGCCTCAGAAGGAGGGAAATAATAGAATGGATTTGAACAGAATTGAACCTAATCTGAAATATTGATAAACTGKTCATCAATGATTACAAAACTATGAGYCTATTAAATTTTGGCTAAAAATTGATATTTGGTACTATKAAAATAATATCTTAACAATTAATCATGCTTAAGCTACAGATTTGGCTTCATGAAAACTATTGGGTTTGCCTTTTACATGATTTTCATCTTATAGTAGGTAAAAAGACAAAAGTTATTGTCTTTTCTGTAGTGAAAAAATATAAAACTTTTTTAACTGATTCTTAAATTTTCAAAAGTTTGCTACAAATTAATTGACATCTAATGTATTTTTTTTTATAACCTACTTTGGTACAAAATTATTTCTTACTGGTATTTGTTAATGTTTATTATTTATATTTGTACAATTGTTTTTATTTTAATCCTCAATCATTTTGTAGACTATTGAACTGTTTAAGTTTATTGAGAATTTAAAAAAAAAAAAAAAAACATTTAGATAAATTTATAAATATTGTCTCCTTTGCTGCAATATATTTATATCTCTTCAATTYGTTAGATATTTCATTAAAAGTATTGTTTCAGAGATTTATTATGTATGATATACAATATGGAAATTAATTTAAATTTTGAAACAATACATTTTTTCTTGTTCAAAAATGTAATCATAATTTTTGTTCAATATTCTAGACTGATATGTATGCATAGTTTTTAAAATGAAAGAATACACATGTGATGTTTAATAATTCATATCTGACTGAATTAAAATTATATTTATGACTGTATTGT